TATGAACAAGTACTAACAAATGTTAATAAAACGCCTAAATGCTTGTCCTGATGTCAGCTTTTTAACAATGCCATTCCACGTATATGCCCTAGAGGTTTTAAATCAAGAAAGCCTTTAACATGAAACACTCACATGAACCTTTTAATTTCTCCCTCCCAAAAAGCATTCTATCAAAAGGAAAGAATATTAAAACAAAGTATTACCTTACGACAGATAAACACTCCAACAAAAGACTGTATTTTCTTCTATCATCTTCTCCTTAGAAGAAACACAAACCATTTTACTATCTTTTAATAACCTCTCAGATTACTGTAGTCTGAAAACATTATTTTAATTATCATGTCTTAGCTATCAGAAAGTCAAAGATGCCATTTAGAGTTCACATATTAAAGAGCATGACCTGGAGGGGGAAGCTGGAGGGGCCCAAAGGAAGGAAAAAGGGGACGTATGTAATACTTTCAACAATAAAGAATTATTTAAAAAAATAAAATAAAGAGCATGCCCTACAACGGCACAAATGCAACTGATACATAAATACTTCATTGTTTAGAACTCAGCAGTCGCCAACCTTTCGGACCTCACGGACCACCAGTGGCCCACGGAACACCGGTTGGCGACCTCTGGTTTAGACAGTCAAAAGTCAGAAGGTACTACATGGTTTGCAAGATCCTTTAACTTATGTATGGTCATTAAAACCCAATAAGTAATTCAAGTATGGCTGTATAACGGCAGGCAGTTAAAGGCTCCAGTATCACTCTTTTTTTTCTTTTTCTTTTAAAATATACTTTTATTGATTCCAGAGAGGAAGGGAGAGGGAGATAGAAATATCAATGATGAGAGAGAATCATTGATAGGCTGCCTTGGGGATCGAGCCCGCAACCCAGGCATGCGCCCTTGACCGGAATTGAACCTTGAGACCATTCAGTCCGCAGGCCAATGCTCTACCTACTGAGCCAAACCGGTAAGGGCTCAAATATCACTCTTAAATAGAAGACATGAAAATGAAGGTGGGAAACTTCGTGCTTCTCCACCTTTCACTTACATCGCTAGTTATGGGGGACCTTCCTATGGAAAACATATGGATATATATATGGTCTCCCCAAAAGATAAGGAAGCTTCAGTAAGTTCCAAAGTTGTCAAGATCCGTAGTTTGCTTCATCAAATGCTTTCCTAGCTCGTTTCAATTCTTCATTCATAGTAAGCAAATCTTTAACCCTCGCAAACTTCCTTGGGTCCTTCCGTATCAGAAAGACGATATCTTCAACTTGTACCCGCCCTTGTCTTCCAATTGACATTGCCTTGTGAGTCTATTGCAAAAAAAGCATATTAAATTCAATTGATTTTTTAAAATATAATATTTTAGTTTTAATTTGCATGTATTTATCATTTTTTTAAAATTTGCATTTTTAATACTGGTGAGTTTGAAGACTTTTCTCTTCTATTACAGCTATTCATTTGTGAATTATCTTCTATTCATACCTCTATCCACTTTCTACTATGTGATTAGCACTGTTTCTCTTAATGCTTTAAAGACATTTTTTAATATTAAGACACAAAATCTATCAAATTTACTGATGTTTCTTTATTTGATTTTTGATATATGTAGTTTGTGCCTTCACTGTGTAAAATAATTTTGTAATTTCTTTGTAATTACCCATTTCATTTAAAATTTGTGTCCATCTCAATATTGGTGGCTTTCTTAAAATCAAATCTCACCCTCTGTCATTAAAGACTCAGCCTGTGCAAAAGCAAAGGCTCATCATAGCATTACTCCTGATGACGAAAAAAGGGAAACTAAATATTAAGGCTTTAAATAAATTTGAGCACATCCATTCAATTTTATGAAACCATTAAAAATATAGTGTTATGCAATGACATGGGGAAAATGCTCTAGGCTTACCTAAATGGAAAACAACAACAACAAAAAAACAGGTTATAAGACTGTATATAACTATATAATTTCAATTTTATAAATTTTAAAAATATGTGCAAAAAGACAAAAGAATATTCACCAATATCTTAGCAATAGTGTCTCTATACTAGGTGCCTCATATATGTGTATGCACATACACACACATATACAATCTCCATTTCTAATGATAAATAGTAATCAGTAACTTCCACAAAACAGGCACTCACATGAATATCTTATTTCTAAAGGATGCCATAGTTCTAGTCTTATCTGTAAGTTTGAATTTAAAATCTTTTTTTCAATTAACTAAGACCAATAACAAAAAAAAATATCTTACCATTTCAGTGATGAACTCTATAACAAGGTCTTCAAGAATATCCACCGACTCAGTATAAGGATTCTGGTCATCCCCAAACCCATACATCATACATCGTACTGTAAAAGAAAAATCATTCTTACTGGAAAATTTAATCATTTGATCAATAATGTTTTCAAATTAGAACTGAGTCAAGTTGCCCTGGCCAGGTGACTCAGTTAGGTAAGAATCATCCTGTAAACCAAAAGGTTGTGGGTATAATTCCCAGTCAGGACACATACCTAGGTTGTGGGTTTGATCGCCAGTGAAGGTGCATACAAGCAACCAAGCTCTAGCTAGTTTGGCTCAATGGATAGAGCCAAAAGGTCCTGGATTCGGTTCCGGTCAAGGGCACAAACTTTGGTTGCAGGTTCCTCTCTGGCCCCGGCCCTGGCCCTGGCCAGGGCTCGTGCAGGAGGAAACCAGTTGATGTGTTTCTCTCACATCGATATTTCTCTCTGTCTTCCCCTCTCTCTTCTACTCTCCCTAAAAATCAATGGAAAAATATCCTCGGGTGAGGATTAACAACAACAAAAATATACTGTATATACATACATACACATATATACTAGTACATATTTTTTAAAAAAACAACCAATCAGTATTGCTCTCTTTCCTTCCCTCTCGCCCTAAAAATCAATAAAAACATATCCTCAGGCAAGGAATTAAAAAGAAAATTCAAGCCTGGCCCGTGTGGCTGAGTGGTTGAGTGTCGACCAATGAACCAGGACAGCAGTTGCCAACTCGTGGTCTGCAGACCACTGGTGATGTGTGAGGTCCGAAAGGTTGGCGACCGCTGAACCAGGAGGTTCGGCTCGATTCCAGGTCAGGGCACATGCCCGGGTTTCGGTCTCGATCCCCAGTAGGGGTTGTGCAAGAGGCAGCCATTCAATGATTCTCTCTCATCATTGATGTTTCTATCTCTTCAAAGTTTCTGCTAAGAACCGACTATGCAAGCATCACTCTGGGGTGCCCAGGTATAGGAATCCCCTTCGTATGCTGACAAAGAAGTAAAACCACAAACAAATGGAGTACATGTCATCAGAGATGGAATAAGGAGCAGTCAGCTTTAGGTGAGGAACTGAGATATGGAGAGGAATCTGAGGGGTAAAAAACAAACAAACAAACAAAGAGACAGACATAACGGCCCTGCAGTTTCAAGAGCCTCTGGGAACTGTTTACATCTGATTCAGCATCAATGAACTGCCCTATTTGTCAATACTCAGCCATAACTATACGTAAGGGAGCCGGAAGGGGAGAGGAAGAGCAAATTCTCATGGTGCCTTTCAGAATTTGGCCTGGACCAGTCCCTCCTGCTACTGACAAAAAGGGTCAAACCTGTCGACCGAGGGAGTAGAATGGAGGGCGGACACATTATAATCTCTACGCCACTATAAGACCCTGCACTGTTCACCACCTCCTGCCTTAGTCCAGCGCTCCAATTTAACTTCTAGGCTCAGCATGTTCCAGGATTCATCCTAACCTTTGGTCAAAAGTCCCTGCTTCTACTGTGGCAAAGGTGTGGGACAAGGGAAGAAACGGAGGTATGTTCTTAGGCCTGGAATCGAAACACTGATCGCATTTCCTCACTTGAAAAAAAAAAAGGTGTGTGTGTGTATGTATATGAATATACATCCTATAAAATAAAAGCCTAATATGCAAATTGTCCCCTCAGGCAGTCCTTGGAATGGGAGTTCCACCGCTCGCTATGATGTGCGCTGACCACCAGGGGGCAGCGCAGAACATGGCAAGTGTTGGCAACGCTGAGCTGGCAGCAGGCAGCCATGGAGGTGCTGCAGCCCCAGTGAGCCCTGAGGATAGCAAAAGCGGGACTGGGGCCAGATGGTGGAGCAGGTGAGTGGGAGGTGCCAGGCCAAGGGAGGTGCCAGTGGGGACCCAACCACCCCGCCCAGGGTGACCAGTGGCCGTGGCAAGGGACGGAGCCTGGCTCCCAGGTGCTGAGGGAGCCAGACAGGCGGCCTGCCCCAATTGATCACCCTTCATGGGATGGGGAACATGTGAGGGGGCAGCGCCAGGCCAAGGCAGAGTGCCAGGTGGGGCTTTGAGGCTGGGGGCACAAGCTGGGCCACCCTGAGGGACCCCACCCGTGTATGAATTTATGCACCGAGCCTCTAGTATTTATATATGTGTGTATGTAAATTGTGGTTAGGATCATTACTAGCTATGATTCACAAATTAAACAGAATTTTACAGGCAAGTCTGAGAATAGTGTCCCTACTGGCAAATAATTCAGAAACATAAATCTACTTTGTTTTTGTTGTGTGTTTTTTTAAATATAGTTTTGATTTTAGAGAGAGGGAGAGGGATAGAGAGATAGAAACATCAATTAGAGAGAAGCCAATTGCCTGCCTCCTGCACGCCCCCCACTGGGGATGGAGCCCACAACCCAGGCATGTGCCCTGACCGGCAATCAAACCAGGACCTCCTGGTTCATAGGTCACTGCTCAACCACTGGTCCACATCCGCTGGGCCAGAACAAGAAATCTACTTTGAATGCACATGTCCAAAACATTTCAATCATCTGCAATAGAATCACTGTAAATATTACTTACATTCTTTAGAAAAAAGTCTCTTTCTTTTACCCTGCCCACCTTCCGCACCTCCTCCAATTTCTTCATTTTCTTCCTCAAACTACAAGTTAAAATGTATAGAGAGAAATGTCAAGCCATTGCACGGCACTGGTTTTTTTGATAATTCACAGTCCCCCCTCCACTTTCGACACTGACATCATGCCAGGAAGCCTAAGGCGAGCAGCAGACACTCGGGAAACCACAGCATTTTAGTCCAACCTCCGGCTCAAGCAGCAACGGCTTCCATAATGTCCCTAGCAAATCCCCCAACTGCCCCTCCCAGAGGGATTCCATTGACTACCCTTTCCCCCCCAACCACCATGTTGGCCCACTGCTAGGCAGTCTCACTAGGGCGGGAGTTGGTGCTGAATCAAAGCTGGGAAGGCGCCCTAAGGAAGCCATGGACCCCAAGAACCAAACTGAAATGACTTGCTCGCGGGCAACTTAAGGAAGCCTCCGCCCCGCTGAATGCCATGGACCCCGAGAACCAAACTGAAATGACTTGCTCGCGGGCAACGGAAGTTGTGAAACCCAGGCTCCCACTTCCGGTCCACACTGGACAGCGAGGGGGCAGTTTTGTGAGCAACTGAGCTGCTGGCTCGCCGGGAGCGCTAAGAGACATTCGCTCGAGCCTCCGACGATTCTCCAGGCGTCACGAGGGGCGTCTGGCAGGTGTGGACCAAACGCCAGGGTCGGGGGCCGCCTTCCGCTCCCCCCTCCACGCCCGGCCCCACGCCCTCGAAAAGCGAACGGAAGGGAAAGGCTGGGCACCGCGTCGAGTCCCCGGCTCTCCCGCCTGAAGTCACTCAGGAAAGCAGACCCGACTCCGACCCCGGCCTCCGCCACTGTCCCCGGGGAGTGAAGAGAAGGGCGGGTGGGAACAGAGGTGGTCACTCACGGTGGGGTCCTCTTCCTCATCCGCCATCCCACCAGCCAGCCCACAGCGCCCCGCCCGCTTTTACTACTTTCTCAGAGACGTCTCAGACCTCCGAGCGGCTTTTACTACTTCCGCCGACGCACTTCCGGTGACGCAACGACTTGGGCGTGGCCTAATCGGGCGGGCCCGGAAGGGGCGGAGCCCAGACGCTCTTTAGGGACTTAGGAATGAACTCCTGGCTCTAAAACCACGAAGAAGGAGTTAAACGGCAAAGAAAAGGAAGCCCTGGCGGCGTGTACCCGGTGGTCACCCTCCATGTGCTTCTGCATGCGGGGTCCTCACCATCTGATTCGGGACTGCCAAGCAATGGATGGATGGTTGTGCGGCTAGCCGGCGGCCTTGGGCTGCCCCAAGCGTGTATTTAAACAATTTCCACAACTTGGAGTTCCACTCTTATTCATGCCAAGCTCTGTGTTGGTTATTGGGGATATTCTTTACTACTAGTAAAGCTTCGAATTTTCAATCCCACCCACGCATTCTCCAGAGAGGGGAGAAAGGCTGGGAATGGAGTTGATTGTACTTACACGTGAGGCATAAAAAGCCCAATCGTAGGAGGTTCGGAGAGCCTCCAGGGTGGGGGAAACATCCACATACTGGGAGGGTACCGTACCCCAACTCCACAGGGACAGGCGCTCTTCACTCGGACCCTCCCAAACCTCACCTAATACCTCTTCATCTGGCTGTTCATTTGTGTCCTTGATCATATCCTTGAATAGACTGGTAGACCTAAGTATTGTCCTGAGTTCTGTGAGATGCTCTAGCAAATAATAGAATACAAGGGAGAGGAGGTCACAGGAACCTCCAATTTGTAGCCAAGTGGGACAGAAGTTGTGGGTATCCTGGGGGCCTGCAAGGGGGGGGGGCATGAATTACAGAGATAATATATGCTTTGGGAGCTTGTGATGGGGGAAGGAGGCCCAAGAAGGCTCCTTTGAGAAAGTGAGGTTTGAACTGAGACCTGAGCCATGAATGGCGTTAGCCAGTGAAGGAGGAAGGGAAGAGTGTGAGAGCTTATCTTGTCCACTAAATCTCAAACTTATTAAGAACAGAGTGTTTCTCTTTCATCTCTGAGCTCCCAAAGGTTCATGCATTCCTGGATACTTAAAAGTCCTGGAACAAATATTTGCAGCAGAAATGAATGCCTGTTTGACATCCCTTTTCAAATATGTTGTAATTCAAATGAAGCTATTGTTGTGAGCTGTGCCTTTGGGGACGGGACTTACTCTTTGGTTAAACCAGAATGCCATCGTCATGGTCCCCAGACTGATTAGTGTTTGTCACAGTGACCGAAACAACTGTAACAAACAGGCCACTGTTCTTGACTGACAGGAGTTTGGCAACAACTGCCTGTCCTCCAGCGAAGGCTGAAATGAACTGAGAAGGACTGTCTGAATTGAGTCCCCAGCCGGGAGGGCTCTACTTATTTCTCACAGTTGAGCTGCAAGAGCTAGTGACCCAGGCTTTGGCCTGATGTGAGGCTCTGGGGTGAAAGAAACATTAATGCTTGAAACAAAATCATCAGAGATCCGTATCGGTGACAGCATCCTAATCTGAGACAGTGTGATAACAGGAGGGAGCTTTGAAGTCAGACAGACAGACCTAGGTTTGGATCCTAGCTAGCAATGTTATCTCACTCATGTTCCTTCTTTGAGCCTCAGGTTTCTTCTTGAAAAAATATTCTTCAAAATAGTGAGGATCAAAGATAATGTCCTGTGCTCTGCTAAAATGTGTTTATTCATATATCTTCTCCTATAAAGTTTGTTCCCTGAGGGCAGGGACTCATTTTTACCTTTATTCTTGCAAATCTAGCAAAGTACCCAGCATGTAGTAGACACTGGTAAATGTTTTTAAAATAAACAACAAGAGTGATGCTAACATTTCTGGGGCACTTCATGCCAAGTGTTGTAAATTATAACTTGTTGAATCCTTCAACAACCCCAACTTTACAGACAGAAACAGAATACTGTAATTTTTTAAAATATGAAATTCTTGGTATAACTGATTTTGAAATCTCTGGTGAGATTTGCTTTATATAAAAATAGGTAAACTACTTTATAAAAATTGGAAAAATGTGGTGGAAGGAAAAGTAAGGAAATTGGGGTTGTTGAAGGATTCAACAAGTTATTATTTACAACACTTGGCATGAAGTGCCCCCAGAAATGTTAGCATTACTCTTGTTGTTTGTTTATTTTAAAAATATTTACCATCCCCACCCCACGCCCTACCCCCACTAAAAACTGACTAAAAGCTCTCGTCAGCTTATGAAAGTGTTGTGTTGTGGGAAGCGCTGTCCAGACAATCGCCGGTTTCTGGTGAGAGTGGCCGAGGTGATCCCAACATTAACTACATACAGGAGATAATCGAGACTCTCCTGAAACAAACTGACAATTATCTGAATGTTTCCCGACAACGTGGAGCTTTGTGATCTGAAATATGAGGCTCGTTTTTGTTATAATTTCTTTATTTCATTTAGGAAGTTCAGACGCAGCCTGGCTATCCAGTTTTCCATAAGAAGTCAGAAAGAGCAGCGCGGCAAGGGCAGTCCTGGAGGCCCCTGGGGTTCCCTCTTGACCCCGGGAGCCAGGGCTCTTGAACGGAAGCCCGGGACCCAGCCTTCTCTGTTGCAGGAGGGCTGCAGACGTACAAACGGACACAGGAGCTGCCACCGCACACCCTACAGCACAAAGTGCAAGTCCTTACCTTTTCACCGGCAAAGTGAACGGTCAGGGTACGTGCTAGCACCATTTCCGCAACGGCACCCGGAAGAGTCTTGGTTACCATGGCCACGCAGGACGCCTCCCGGACCACGCGCTTCTGAGAGAGAAGCACGCAAGCCCCACCCACATCGGGTCCCTAGCTCGGCAATCTGCTAGCCACCCCTGATTGCGTTCGGCGCTCGCCTGCCTGCCCTTGCGCCTGCGTACTACGGTTCCTTACCCGTCGCTGCGGCCGGGATCGGGAAGTGTCAAGCGGGAGCTGGGTTCCCCCACCTGCGCTCCTGCCACCGCTGATCCCGGACCCCCAGCCAGGCCCGGGCTCAGCCGCCATGACGAACGGTGAGAGCCAACGCCCAGAGTGGAGGATGTGAGGGGAGGACGAGGGGCAACGTGGCGGGCGGAGCCGGGACTGACGTGGCCGTTCTCCCCGCCCCCTCCCCGCTCAGCCCTCTTGGCCTCTCTGGGTGCCCTGACCTCTGGCCTCTAGATCCCTGCCGGTTCCCCGGTGCGGTTACCATCCAGGACCCCAGCGCCTCTCGTGTCCGCACCCCGCGTCCTCCCTCCCTCCCCTGTGCTTTCCCTGCCCCCCTTCCTAGCCTCCGGGAATGGCCGCTCCGGTTGAACGATTGCTTTACCTGCTAAAGTTCAGCACGGGGTGGGGGGTGGGGGGATTTTCCTCCCAGCCCCCTACGTTCTCGTACTTTCTGAGAGTAGGCTCGTTAGGAGGCCAAGAAATCACAAAGGATCTCAAGCCCCACACCTTTGAGGGGTGAATGTAGAGCCTAAAAAAGTGTCTTCTTTTGCAAAAGTGTTCTGTTTGGGTGATAGCATCTGGAGACCCGAGCCTGTGTTGGGTAGGTCCTGCCTCTTCTGAACGATGTGCCGTTGCCTCCCTGTTTATCTGACCTCATTTCCCAGTTTGTGTAGGAGATTTCTGAATTCCAGGGAAGGGCGGGAGGCGGGGCTTTTGCAGTCTGTAGTGTCAGCCTTGCAGGAAAGGAGAGACCCTCAGAGGTAGTGTGATCTGCGGGGCTCAGGAACGCATTTCTCAAAAGCACCGGGGACTCACATTTCACCTCCCTGTGAGCTTTGGCATTGCCTGCAAAACCTTATGGGAGGAGGAGACTAGCACGTGAAAGTATCATTCGCCATAAAGACTTAGTGTGTTAACTTACTCAACTCTTGTGTGACTCCTCGCTGAGAGACTTAGGAAGGAGGCGGGGAGATGGAGCGGGCAGAGCTGGTAGCGGCTGTCCATTACCCTCTTGGAGCTGCCTGGCTGTCAGAGATCTGGGGTTACTGGGCACAGGAGAAGGGACACCACCCAGAGCAGAAACCACCCGAGCCAGGAAATAAGGGAGCGGTCTGTCACCTAATTACCCTCCCCCCTTTTGTGGTTTGATATCTTTTTTTTTCTTTTTGCAGTTAGGCCAGTGGTCGGCAAACTGGTTAGTCAACAGGCCAAATATCAACAGTACAACGATTGAAATTTCTTTTGAGAGCCAAATTTTTTAAACTTAAACTATATAGGTAGGTACATTGTTATTAACTTAATTAGGGTCCTCCTAACGTCCTCAGTCTGGTTGAGGTACGTTCGCTGAAGTCGACCCCTTCCAACTCTCCCATCCACATTCGTCTTGTATACTTGTTTCAGATAAATGAGTGTGGATGAGAGAGTTGGATGGGGCCGACCTCAGCGAACGTACCTCAAAACAATGTACCTCCCCTGGCCCGGCCCCCCTGCCTGCCTGCACAGAGTCTTGTGTGGCCCTACCGACCAACACCCCCCACTTCTTCTAACGCCACTTCTTCAAAATAGACTCGCCCAGGCCAAAAAACGACTTCTGCACATGGGCTATGAAGTTTCAGTCGCACTGTACATGCACGCCCGCACGTGGTATTTTGTGGAAGAGCCACACTCAAGGGGCCAAAGAGCCGCATGTGACTCGCGAGCCCCTGTTTGCCGACCACTGAGTTAGGTGATTTATTGTGCATGTACAAGAAATCGCTAGGTTTACACAGAATTGTTCAAAGGTCCCCCCACAATTGTTCGCCTATGTTGAAATGTCGCAGCCTCGGAAAGATAGATATATCTTTTACAAG